TATGCCTGTAATCCTAGCTAGTTAAGAGGCTGAGATCTGAGGATAAAGGTTCAAGGCCAGCTTGGGGAAACAAATTCATGAGACTTCTATCTCCAATTAACCAGCAAAAAGCTGCAAGTAAATGTGTGTGGCTCAAGTGGTAGAGGGTCTCTGTTGAATGAAAAAGCCAAGAGAAAGCAGAAGGCCCTAAGTTAATTAAGGCCCTAGTACTAGAACACGAACACACACACACACACACACACACACACACACACACTCCCCAAGGCCCCAGTTCACAGTCAGAGATTAACAACAGGAACCTATTTGTGTGGAAGGGAATTTGTACTTATGCAGGGTTTACAGCACGCCTGTGAGCTCTGCTCACTCAGGAAGTTTCTATCCATGGATGGGTCCAGGATCCATCCCTGACCTGCCTTTCTCTAATGACCACAGACATCCAGGTCCTGCATTCATCTTCACTTTTTCCTGGGGCTACCAGGATGCTGTCTCCTCCCACCAAGGTAGGAGGAACAAGTTTCTATGGCAACTGGCTTGAGAACTGTCTCCCAGCAGCTAAACTTGAGAGAAGCCAGCTAGTACCGATGTCCCGGTCATACTGTGGGCAGTTTGAGGGGTGCATACAGACTCTGGAATGGGATCTGATGTCTGTAACCAAGGGTGTATTTGATGTCTCTAGAGGTAGAGCTGCAGGTGGCTCTGTCCTCTGGGAAGTCAATGACCTTCCTGACCCTCTGCTTTCTTATCTGGCCACCAGGGGGAGCCTCTCCCCAACAGCTGTGCCAGGACTCCCAGGTCCCTCCCAGATGGAAGGGAACAGAAATCACAGCCGGAAGCTGGTTGGCTAAGAAAAGCTGCTGACTCAGCCTTGTTTGGCCCAGGAGCTGGCACTGTGTAAGTGTGGGCTTCCGCTGGGTTCCCCATGGGCAGCGGGCCTAGCACTGTATCTGTCTAGACACTTGCTGAGGGCTCTGCCTGGCCTCCTCCTGGACACAGATTCTTTACTGCTCCAGGACCTCAGAAGGTGCCTGCATTTGGACTTGGGGCCTTTACTAAAGTGACTGAATTCAACGAGGTCATCTGGTAAGCTCTAATCCAATAGGACTGGTCTTCTTAGAAGAAGAGCTCAGGCCTGGTGCTGGTAGGTCACACCTGTAATCCACTCAGGAGCTACCTGTAAGCTACTCAGGAGGCTGAGATCTGAGGATCATGGTTCAAAGCCAGCCCAAGCAGGGCAGTGTATGAGACTCTTATCTCCAATTAAAAATCCCCCCAAAACCCACAAGTAGAGCTGTGGCTCAAGTGGCAGAGTGCCAGCCTTGAGTGAAAAAGCTAAGAGACAGTGCCCAGGCCTTGAGTTTAAGCCCATTACTGGCACACATACACACAAAAAGAGTACAGCATTTAAGAAAATGAAAAGCCTAGCCACAGACCTGGAGAGAATGTTGGCACTTTTCAGATATGGTAAAACCCAGAAGATATAAAGAACTCTTCAACTTGAATAATAAAACACATAGTCCAATTTACAAATAGGCAAAAAGGGGCTGGGAGGTGGCTCAGTGGTAGAGCACTTGCCTTGCATGCCTGAGGCCCTGGGTTTGATTCCTCAGTACCACATAAGCAGAAAGGGAAAAAAAAGCTGGAAGTGGCACTGTGGCTCAAGTGGTAGAGCGCTAGCCTTGAGCTGAAGAGCTGAGGGACAGCGCCCAGCCCAGAATTCAGGCCCCACGACCGAACCAAAAACAAAAAACAAAAAAACCCCAAATAGGCAAAAAGGGTTTTTTGTTTTGTCGTGGGGCCTGAACTCTGGGCCTGGGCGCTGTCCCTCAGCTCTTCAGCTGTAGACTAGCTATCTACCACTTGAGCCTCAGCCCCACTTCTGGCTTTTTCTGCTTATGTGGTGCTGAAGAATCGAACCTAGGGCCTCATGCATGCAAAGCAAGCACTCTACCACTGAGCCACCTTCCCAGCCCTTCGCAAAAAGTTTTTGAATAAGCATGCTGTTCAAGGAGACACACACACACACACACACACACACACACAAATCTAATTAATAAACAGAAAAAGGTACCCAACATCATTCATTGCTCATCAACTCCCAGTATCATGGCACTTTACATCGCCACACTATGGTGCAAGATACACTTGTAAGTGTTGACATGGTTGTAGAGAAACTGGGATCTTCATATATTGTTGGTGGGGATGAAGACTGGTACAGAGACTGTTTCTTAAAAGTTAAACAACTATATGGAATAACCCAGAGAGAATGAACCAAAGCATGTATTTATACAAATCAAGCCTGTAATTCTGTCAGCTTGCGATGTAGAGATTAGAGGATCACGGTTCAAGGCTGTCCTGGACATGAAAGTTCACAGAAGTTGAGAGACAACATCATAACCCATGGCTGCATGCAGTGGTTCATACCTGTCCTCTCCAGAGATTCAAGGAAGAATAAGTAGAAAGATCAAAGCTCAGGCTGGCCCCAGGCATGAAGCAAAACCTTTCCTTGAAAATAATGCTAGCCTGACACTGATGACTCACACCTGTAATCCTAGCTACTCAGGAAGCTGAGATCTGAGGATTGCAATCCAAAGACATTCTGGACAGGAAATTCTGTGAGACCCATATCCAATTAACTACCAAAAAGCTACAAGTAGAGCCATGGCTCAAGTGATGGAGCACTAGCCTTGGGGGAAAAAACTAAAGGACAGTACCCAGGCCCTGAATTCAAGTCCCAGGACATCACACACACACACACACACACACACACACACACACACACAGAGCAGGTTGTTAAGGACAGAACTCTGATCAGCAGACTGGAGATTCACTACAGACAGGGAGGAAGGAAACTTAGGGGGGCTATAGCTATAGAGATGTTCCATAATTCTGAAAATAAGCTGACATCCTTGAATCATGCATGTATGATGGGTATCATTTATCACTTACACATCAATTAGGCTGTGGAAATACATAAATACAGAATGTGACCATACAATTCCTCTGGCTTGGAGCTAGAATATTCCCCTGAGGCCAGAGCTTGGTTCTCGGCTGCTGACTGGGAAACCTACTCCATTGTTGTTGTTGTTCGAGCTAGTACTGGGGCTTGAATGCAAGGTCAGGGTCAATTTCAGGGACAGCCATCAGTCTTGGGGAGAGGACCCAGCAGTCCGGAAGTCTGAGGAGTGGTGAGTAGAGACCCAAGCAGGTCTAGACTGACAGGGAAGTTCAGTGGAAGCTGGGAGCTGGCCGGTGATGGGAATGGCATGCCCTATGCTGGTCAAGAGCAGAGCACAAGCCTTACCACAAAGCCACACTGGCTGGCTCTGGCTTTCTGCTACAAGGAAAATGCTGGCAGCATCTGCACTTGGCAAGATATAAGGCCCCAGTAGCTCATACAAACTCACCCCCACAAACCTTTCATTTGCCCCCAAATCCCTGAAAATATCAGTTTAAACAAAGCCAAGCCAGGTGCCAGTGGTTCACACCTGTATTCTAGCTACTAAGGAAACTGAGATCTGAGGATTGAGGTTCAAAGCCACTCGGGGCAGGAAAATCCATGAGTCTCTTATCTTCAATTATCCACCAAACATTGGAAATGGATGTGTGGCTCAAGTGGTAGAGTGAAAAAGCTGAGCCGAGAGCAATAGGCCCCAAGTTCAAGTCCCAGTGCCAGCACATAAACACAAAAACAAACAACGAACACTAAGGTTAAGTGCCCTAATCATCCTCAGCTGAGAAAACAAGACACCGAGCGAGCAAGAGCTAGAAAGCAAGTGAGTGAGAGAGTTAAAGACCACAGGTGAGGAAGAGGAGTCATATCTCCCTGCCCTGGAGATTCCTTTCTTCTGAAGCCTTCCAGGGACAATCTAAAGCTGCCTAAGCATTTGCAAACCAAACACTTCTCACAAATCAATGCAACCTGAAAGAATGAGGTGCTACACAAGGCACAATTTGAATGACCCTCAAAAACCTAAGTTGAAAAAGCCAGGCCAGGCACCAGTGGCTCACGCCTAGAACCCTAGTTACTCAAGAGGCTGAGATCTGAGGATTGCAGTTCTTGGACAGAAAACTCAGTGAGACTCTTGTCTCTAATTAATCAGCAAAAAGCCATTAGTGGAGCTGTGGTTCAAACTCTCAGTGTAGTAACCTTGAGTGAAAAAGCCAGGGGACAGTGCTCAGGCCCTGAGTTCAAGTTCCAGTATTAACATATAGATACACACAGACACCAGACACACAGACACAGACACACACACACACACACACACACACAGACACACACACACCAGGGTTCCAACCTAGCAAAGATGGGCATTGAGGTCCAAGTTCTGAGATCCTGACCAGGACTTAGAAAATACACAGATACCTGAAATGCACTCGACTGTCCAAGCCTGAGTCTCCCTTACTAATTCTAATATGGAGTGGGTTTTGGGGACCATGGATAGCATCTCCTCAGCCAGAGGGTAGAATCCCAGTCTTTACCAGCCCTGGGGCTCAGAGTCAGGTGCCAGGCAACCTTGTTACATGGCAAACTCAACCAGCTCCTTCCTGCCTGGGCTTGGGCCAGCATCTGCACATCATAGCGCGTGGGCCCTACATGACCCCAGAACCTTCTTGTGACGGGGACAGCCGGTGTCTCCAGTCTTCACCCCCTGACCCCTCACAAAGACTGTCACACTGTTCTAGATCATTCCGCCAGCAGTCTTCAAAGTCCATGGTCCTTACAGAGCGCAACTGTCTCCACAGCCCCCAGCCAGGGAACCTGAAATCCTGGACACCCTCAGCCACACTGAAGCCTATTTTTCTGGCAAAGGCAGAACCGCTGCCTTGGGTCAGGGCCCAGTGCTGGGCCGCCAGCCAGGGCCCGGGAGCGGAAGGAGGGCAGATCCCCAATCATGGGTGACAATGGCTATTTTCAGCTCCCACCATCCTGGTGGGATCCAGGCACTGAGTGGTCTCCTCCACCCCACCCCTCCCACACATAAGACAATTAAAATGCTTACTGAAATATCTGGCTGCAAAGGTTTTCCTCTTGCTGGAAGCTGTGGCTGACATCCTGGAGCTGGCAATCTGTGTGGATTTCTTCTGGATCCTTTTTTTTTGCCCCCTATAAAGAAGCAACCGCATCCTCAGGCAGACACGCTAATTCCTGGTCTCCAGTAACGGGAGACGAGCATCTATAGAAAAGAAATATATTTAGAATGCCCTTTATCTGCTGTTTGCTTGGATTTCAAACAGGAAGGCTGCTAAGGAGCAAGTCCCTGGGGGAGAGTGAGCCCAGGGACCTTGGGGTGGCCTGGGGGGAAGTCACAAGGCCAATGGGTATCGGTTCCTCAAATTGATAAAATGGGAACAGCAATGGCAGCCACCTCTGAGAGGGACCAGGTGACCAGGAGTCAGCAGGAGGATGGAGGAAAGAAGGAGGGATGGAAGGGAGGAAGGAAGGAGAGAAGGAAAGAAGGAAAGAATGAGGGATGGATGGAAGGAAGGAAAGAAGGAAGGAAGGAAGGAAGGAAGGAAGGAAGGAAGGAAGGAAGGAAGGAAGGAAGGAAGGGTTTTGTAAACAGTAAAGTCCTGGGCACAGATCAGCTACTAGATTTGATTTATTCTTGTACCAGCTTCTTGCTTTCACTTGTTTTTTTTTCCCCTCAAGACTGGGACTGATATTCTGCCGCTTGAGCCACAGCTCCACTTCTGGGTTTTTGGTGGTTTTAGGGATAAGACTCTCAGATTTGCTGTTCAGCCTGGCTTTGAACCATGATCCTGCATAGCTGGGATGACAGATGTGAGTCACCAGTGCCTGGCATTGATTTGAGTTTTCCAATGATTTGGATTTAAGGGGCTCTGTGTTGCTAAGTAGTCTGGACAGCAGGTGCAGACCACACTGCTTTGTAGGGTGATGTCCTGCATGCGCTGGTGCCTTGTGGGGAGTGTGTAGTACCGTGGCTCTGAGAAAAGTGAGGACTCGGTCCCCACACAGGTGTGGGGGAGCAAGGCCAGGAAAGGCCAGTCTTAGACCCCACCCAGCCCCAGAATGCTGGCTGCAGGGGCCCGGCTGCCCAATTCCACTTTCCAAAGCACCATTTAAACTTGTGGAAGACAGAGAGAAATCTGTCATGAGCTATCCAAGTGACATCTTGATATCTACCACCATCAGCAATGGTCCTGAGGTGTGTGTGTGTGTGTGTGTGTGTGTGTGTGTGTGTCAGGTGGCAGGCACAATGTCACCTGCTTAAACACTTTCTGTGTTTCCATAGGCAGAGGACCTGCCTCTTTTTCTCTCCTTCCTCCTCCCTCTCTCCTCCTTCCTTCCTTCCTTCCTTTCTCCTTTCCTCCTCTCCTCCCTTCTTTCCCTCCCTTCCTCCTTCCTTCTTTCCTTCCTCCCTTCCTTTGTCCCTTCTTCCTTCCCTCCCTTTCTTCCTTCCTTCCCTCCCTCCCTCCTTCCTTCCTTTCTTCTTTTCCTCCCTCTCTCTTTCGTCCTTCTTTTCATTCAACGAAACATGTCAGTTTATGAGTACAATGCATCATTAATGTCACCCCTTTCACCATTCTCCTTCACTCTTTGTTTTTTAAGTTTTAAGTAGTTGTACATAGAGGTTTTGAAACCAGTATAACCTTTTTTTTTGTTCCAGTCCTGGGGCTAGAACTCAGTCTGGCTGCTGTCCCTGAGCTGTTTTACTCAAGGCTGGAGCTCTACCAGCCACAGCTCCACCTCTGGTTTGTTTATTGGTTGGTTGGTGGGTATTGGACTTTTCTACTTGAGCTGGCTTTGAACCTTGATACTCAGATCTAGACCTCCTGAGTGACTAGGATTATAGGTGTGAGCCATTAACATCAGAGACTATATATCCCATATATGTATATATATGGAAATACAAAATTTAACAAAACACGTAGGAGATGACTATAGACAATCAAGCATTAGCAAATTAATCTCAGTAATAGATGAAAACATATCTCTTTCTCAAGCCCTTGATTTGGGTCAGTAACCAGCCCATCCTTGAGCCACCGTAAGCCACATGAGCAGGCTGGCTAAGCCTAGTGTCATGGCAAGCGCTGGGCAGGGCTAGATTCTCACAAGACATATAGGTGGTGTAGGAAAGAGGTAGGGGCTGGATTAGATGCTGAGGTGCTGAGACCAGGGTGGAGTGGCAGGGAGATGGATTCCATAACTACTGTGCAATCCGGAGAGGGAGAGAAACAAGAAAAATGCCTTCTAACTACTAACCCCCATCCTTTCCAAAATCCACCTTTTAGCTGGGTGATGGTGGCTCATACCTGTACTCTTAGCTACTCAGGAGGCTGAGATCTGAGGATCAAGGTTCCAAGCCAGCCCAGGCAGGAAAGTCCATGGGACTCTTCAATAAACCACCAAAGAAGCCAGAAGTGGAGCTGTGGCTCAAGTGGTAGAGTGCTGGCCTTGAGCACAAAAGCTCAGGGACAGCGCCCACACCCTGAGTTCAAGCCCTAGGACTGGCACAAAAACCAACCAACCAACCAGCAAAACCCAACCCAAACCAACCACAAAGCCACCTTTGCTTCGGGGCAGGCTCAGAAGCAGGATGTACTGAGCTTTCACCCAGTAACTGGGTGCCCAGTTTGGCTCAGCTGGGGGGATGGTGGTGCTGGGGTGCTGGTGTGTGTGTGTGGGGGGGGAGATGTCCAGTCCCAGAGGAGAGCTGGACAGACCTAGGCCTGTCTGGAGATGACTCAGCCCGAAGCAGCCCAGCTGGCACTGGCCATCAGCCCGCCTGGACTCACACCCCTGCACCCCACATCACCCCACTGCAGACGTTAACCACCACTCCCACTTATTGGAAAGGGGTGATTATCCCAGGGGAATTGCAAGGCACCCCAAGTCACACAGCATCACGTGACTGAGGGGAGGTGGGGATTTGAACTCCTATCTTCCAAGCATGGACGCACAGCCCTGTTTTGTTCTGTTGTGCTTTTAGCCACTTGCACACCCTCTGACCCTTCTGCTCGTGCCCCCCTGCTTCAGGGGTCCTGGGGGGGAGGGAAGCTAGCCCCCCCCCTCCGTGTTGCGTTGCTTGGCCCAGGCCTGCTCACCTGGGGGGGGGTGGCAGGTGTCTCCCCCGCTGTCGGCTCCTCCCTTCTTCCTTCCCCGGGGCCTGGAGGCCGCGCTGCCCCTCACCCCGCGAGGTGGCCTTGGCTCTGCCCGGGGTCCCCCAGTGGCCGTTTGGCGGGCAGCGCCCGGGGCCCGACGCCGGCGGAGCATGGTGCTGCTCCTCCCGGACGCCGCTGCGCGGATGG